AGGACAGAACAAAGACACCATAAGTCCAACCCGTGATGACATAGCTGAGTGCCCAGTAACTATGATTTCAGTCTCCACCGTCACTAATGGCCAAGACAGTGGCTCAGAGCCCTTTAAACTGCTGTCCGAGCCTTGTTAGGATGCTGCAGTGGTACAGTTACAGGGGGCAATGGAGACTGAAAGAACAGGGTAAATGAATGTGATGTAGGGAGTGTAAACTCGCCACAAGCACTAAGCACAGAGAGTTCTGCATACAGCTACAACTCAACATAATTTGAGGACATTTATCAGACTTCACACAGTTCACTCTGGAGGCACAAAAGGCTTTATACAACTGTTGTCGCATTATACAGTAGTGACACCTGGAAACAGATATTGATGTGTAATTTTCTGTGCATCACAAAACTAGACGTGGTTCTGTTTGACTGCCGTCGCTTAACAACAACTGAAATTCATTCAGTCAGGGTCGTCGTTACATTTGAAGTGGAAAACCCACCGGCAAGTTTTACATTCACACCCTTTAAATTGAACTAATTGAATTTCACGTTTTGAGAAAGAACGTTTATGTGGAAAATGTCATTTACAATACGTCTGAACAACAACAACAATGTGACAAAAGAATAATGCGAGTCTATAAATTCAATCAGATTCCCTTGTGTGTGCCCGAGGAAGAGCAATGCTGGATTTTATCCCTTGCAGGTTTGATTAATAAGGGATTAACTCACATGGCTGTGCAGTTGGATCCAGTTTAGTCATCTCAAATATTCCAATTTGCTGTATCCAATGTTATTACTTGCTGGATCTGTGCCTTGGCTTCAGGTTAGCTTTTGCAATCTCACTATTTGCATATTCATGTGTCTGCGGTTTATGAGCAGAGTTCAGATGTTTCCTCCTCCACTACAACTTGTTTATTGTAAACAGTGTTTATTGTCATTCAATCTCAAATGGAAGGTTGATGAGACACTAATCAATGACAAGACATGATGTGACATTAACATACACTTCATTACTCTTCATTTACCGTATTAAGCTTTCATTGGCTTTACATTTAAAGACATTCGCTGCACAGAGGGTGCAGAGGGAGGGTAGCTACGCAACCTAATTAAAAGTTTCAAGTTGGAGGCATGCTGATTGTAAATGACTTCAGATGATGCTGGTGGGCTTACTGTTGATCTCAAGCTGTTCAAGCAGTTAATTAAAATAAAAAAAAAATGTAAAAAAAAAAAACGATGTGGCGAACTAAATTGGTTACAGATTGCAATTAATGCAGTCTGTGAGCCGGGCCGGGCGAGAGCTACCCTGCCTCGTTAGCGAGCGTTCGCCTGCTGGGGTCAGCCTATAGGAAAACACCCGCCTTTATTTGTTTTTCAGCCTTTTTTCCATAACCCATTATTAACAGCAAACCAAGCGATAAGAAATCATGTGCAACAGAAGTAAAAACAAAAAACAAAAGCTGTTCCTCTTGAGAAAAGCCTAACTGTTGCTATAGCAACCTGTCTTCGCACACTAAAATGGGGGAGATTTTTTTTTTCTCTTTTTTTTTTGAAGGACGGTTCCATTTATCTTCACCCTCCATCCTTTATTCCTCCGCCTGTGCGATGATCAAAGGTGTGACAGGTGGATAAAGCGTGACAGTAAAATGGACAGAGGTGGGCAGAGAGGGGGAGAAAAGAGGGTTTGAGGGGGGAGGTTTCCAAGGGTAGGGAGTGTTTAGAAAGTGATGTGGAGCTTTAAAGGATAAACTGCTGAGAGACTGTGTTAAATCACAGCTGTATAATTTAAAATCAGTCACATTTTCACTTCAATCCCCTCCGTGCGATCTGAAAACACACCTGACTTGGGCAGTAATGACTGGTGTTATTCCCCTGCGCGTGACACCGAAGCTTGTGATGCAGGGTGCATTTAAGGTGATGTAGTCAGAATTAGTCTTGCAGTGCATCGTGGGCTTATTCTGGATGCCTCCTCCCACATCAATAACAGACTTCCACCCCCATTCCTCTCTTGAAACCATACGTAGGCAGGAGAAGTAGGTTACACGCAGGAAACAGAAAGCTCCTGAGGGATGACACAGGAAAAAACAACAGTGATGCCCGACATCAGAACAACGAGGAAGGAAACTTAAACATGAGAAACGCCGCATCTATTCAGTTCTGCTAGACTCCAGCTGCTGCTAATCTGAGAAAAGCATGCAAGAGGAGCCTATTTAGATTCAGCTACACAGAGGCAAAGGGATGCGGTGTGAAAGGGAAAAGGTGGGAGCCGGTAACTCGTAGTCAGTGATCACCGGGCTGTAAAAGCCTTCAGAAGAAGCACAGCACTTTGCAACATGGACTTGTACGTTATGTGACGAGGCAATTTGCATTATTGTGAGAAGATAAAAATGGATGGGTGGCTTATTTTAATGAGACACATGTAAACCTGCCAGACCTTGTTTAAACAAATGTAATCAGACAAACGCACTTTCCCAGACAGAAGAAAGTAATTACTGCCGGTTATTGGGTGAGCTTCAACACAGGAGTGACGATTATTTATATTAGACAATAAAACATTGTATTCTTGCTTCAGATTGATATTTACTATAATTTGAGCTCTGGATTTATTAAATTAAAGTAGTATTGCTGAACTCGTAGGTAGCATCTGTTCCACAAATCACCTTAAGTGTGTTTACACTGTCTTGTACTCCGGTACATGTTATTATTATATGTTCAGGTCAGTTATAAAGGTGCCATTGGAGCTGAGCACCTGTGACGGTGGAAGTTGTTGTTGTAGTAAATAGTCGCACATGTGTATCACCGCATTTAAATTCACCGGAAAAGTTGTTGAGGAGTTGGAG